AAGGGTGTCTGGATATGACCTTTTTACATGCCATCTTATGCGTCCTCTCTTATCCATTTATTCTCTTGATAACCACAGCATATTGACATGTTCATTCTTCTAAGAATTTCATAACTTCAGATGTTGCTTATCTTATCTAATATGAAAGTATTTTGTGTTGGTTTTGTTTCAGCATCTTGACATTACTTTTAGACGAGACCCAACCAATTACAGACCTCGCATTAATAAGCTGGATTCAACCAAAGACAGGGAACAGAAATCTGCAGGATCCTATTACTACCTTGACGATTGATGCAATGCCTATATTACTTGGCTTTCAGATTCAGAGAGATTTCGCAAGCAGTTTTTTTCTTGTATCCTTGCTCGGGCCTTCACTATGCCTGTAGGCATTCAGATCTCCCACTGCATACTGACACATGTCATTCGCATAATCCTTTTCCATCCACTGAGGGATTTCATCACTTGCTGTAAGTTGAGGGTGTATAATACTTCTCTTGGGGTTCTGCTGGGGTATAGTAAGTTATGAAGCAAAGCTATCGACGTGGTCAGCACATAGGTGATTGCTCTACAATGCTTGTTCCTACTTAGTTCCAAGTCCTGGTACTTCTGTATGTTCTAACTGGGATTGGAGATAACTTGAGTGGACGTCTGCGTATTTATTATTACTTTATTATTTTTGCCTTTGTGTCGAGGATGGTTGCTGGTTTACTTAATTATTCAACCGTGCGAATGGTTTTGGTTGTGTAAGAATGCTTACGAATGTTGAGTGAACTTTTTGTTGTGGTATTATGCAACAAATTTCATTTTTGATTGTATGAGGAACTTCTATTAGTTAATAACCCGGATTTTCATCGATTGAATTTGCTACTCTTTAGAGCATCTCCAACAGCTTCCCCATCTTCTTGGTATTCTAAAATTTGGAGAATTTTGAGCTTTTTTTTGGTCCAACAGATTCCCCATCTCATTCCCCAAAATGAGGATAGGAGAGAAAAAATAGAGAGCTTTCCCCAAATCTGCAGCATTCTGTAAATATTTGGGGAAGTACTTTTTCACGTTCTTCTAGACTCAATCCAAAAAAACAACTCCATCTCATTATAATAATAAATAATTTGGTCAAAATGAGGATTCTTCAAAATAATAAATAATTTATTATTTATTAGTCAAAGATGTAGAATATTTTTATTATTGTAATAAATGCATGATTCTTCAAAATGGGGAAGCTGTTGGAGTTGGAGCAAAAATAATTTGGAGAATATGACATTTGATTCCCCATTTTGGAGAAATTTTTGGGGAAGCTGTTGGAGATGCTTTTACATCGCGCAGCTACGCTGTCGTGTCTTTTGCGCTTCGGATCCGCTGTTTCTTCAGTAGTTGATGAGACTCTAGACGGTACAGTTCTGATTTCATGGTTCTCTTAAGTTCGGAGTGTTTTACCATTTGTTTAACACCTACATTTGCATGATCATCATCTTCGTTTCTGGTAAAATATATAATATGGGTGTTTTCGGGGCTTTATGTTTCGTGAATTGGACTGCAAGTTGGAAATTACCTTGAGATCCGATGAAGAACAGATAGCGTTTCGTATATCTTGGGGTCGTTTCGTCCGCTGGAACTTTAATTTTTTTTTTTTGTCAATTGCGGTTGTTTTGTTTCACTTGGACTGATAAATACGCCGCAACTGCATTTATAAACGTGCACGTGGTGCGCTGCGAGCAGATTGGATGCAAGAAGCATTGCGTTTTGAGCTTTGCTACAGAGACCCAAAATATGGGACCAATAAAGGGGACAAGTGAGGTGTCATCATCTTATTGGATAATGAGTTGGCCATCATTAATGATGGCCAACTCATTATCCAATAAGAAGAGGACACCTCACTCACTGGCTACAGCTAAAGGCCTTTTAGTCCCTTGCCTTCAAGCGATGACAAATGCAAATTTGGCGGCATCCGAAAAAGACGCGATCTTTTTGAGCTGTGAAAGTGGTTCAAGTTATTCAATCGCAATCATTCTTCAATAGAATTTTGAAAAAGACGATATCCCATAGCAAACACATGCACAACTACAATCGCGAATCATAAAATTTTAAAATTGAATCGAACAACTACGACTACGAATGCACGTAACAAGCAGCGTAGCAATTGTAGTTGTAAGCAATTGGCATTTGTATTACCATATTGTTATGATAAACCCAAAAACTATCAAACCATTTATCTAAGAGCTGAGGATTTCCCTCCTCATGCATGAGTGATTCACACTGTACTCATGATTATTTCTATGGACAAATTTTCAAAACAGACTTCTTTGCAAAAAAAAAAAAATCCCAAAAACCGATATGTTTCAAACTTAATTTCAAAAGCCGACCCAGTTGGGCTGAAATTGGATTGGTTTTTTAAAAAAAAAGTTCACAAACTTCACGGGAGTTGTTGTCCCGTGAAGTTTTGTTACTTTAAAAACTTCACGGGACTTCAACTCCCGTGAAGTTTGGGAACTTTTTTTTCAAAAAACCGACCCAGTTTCAGCCAACTGGGTCGGTTTTTAAAATTAAGTTTGAAACGTGTCTTCTTTTAAGATTAAGATTCAAAACAGATTGGTTTTGAAAATTTGCCCTTCTTTCCATGCATTGAATAAGCTCGATGCGCGTTCGCATGATGTGTGGATTTTGACCGTGCTCCACCAAATTTTCTCGAGACATCTGAGTTCGCGTTGCAACACTACTACTACGTTTCAGCAGTTTACTTGAGTTCTTTATTCCCTTTACAACTTGTTTATTATTATATCCAACAGTTGGTCAAGGCTGCCACATCTAATATTATGTCGTTGACTCGCTGCATGCAGTTTCATTTCATTTTGAAGTTGGCGAGCAATTAAAAAAAAAAAGAAAAAGAAAAAACGTGAAAACTACGGAAAGAAATTCGCAGGAAAAAAAGTAGGTCCACCAAAAGCCTACGCTAACCTAAATCGCGAAACTGAAACACCTGTCCCATCAAAATCAAAGAGTTGGAGTTGGTAGGCCAACATACCTACGAATAAGCTCATCTCCGAGTCTTGAGGATAAATTTTCAAAACCAACCAATTCCCCAAAAAAGATCCGTTTCAAACTTAATTTTAAAAACCGACCCAGTTGGGCTAAAACTGGGCTGATTTTAAATTTTTTTTTTTCTAAACTTCACAGGAGTTGAAGTCCCGTGAAGTTTTGTTATATAAAAAACTTCACGGGACTTCAACTCACGCGAAGTTTGAGAACTTTTTTTTTCCAAAAACTGACACAGTTTTAGCCAACTGGGTCTGTTTTTAAAATTAAGTTTGAAATAGGTCTTTATTTGGGAATAAAATTCAAAGCAGGTAGGTTTTGAAAATTTGGCCCCGAGTCTCATAATAATCCTAGCTACTTACTAATCTAAACCTTATATTAGACTATACACTAATCCCATAATCAACAATAAAATTAAAAGATCGATTTATTTATTTATTTAACAAGGGGTCTACCTGTAATTAATCCAAAATATGGGATAATTAAAATTGTTTCGCCACTTGCTCCCCAACTCGATCCTGATAACATGGAGTTGCTTATAGCATTGTTTTTCAGTTAACAACTCCCTTTAAACCAGAATCACAATCTTTACGTTCTCCTTTAACGCTCTCCTCCTCTGTTTATTATTTAGAACCGAGCAAATATTTTTAATGACCAAACTACCCTTCGGAACTCGGGAGGAGATACCAGTTGTAACGAGGGCAAATCCGGGATAAGCCGGATCCTGCCCGCCCATTTATATTCAAAGGAGTCTCCTTTCCTTTCTACATTATTTATTTTTATTTCTCCAAAAAACAACGGAGGAAAAAAAAAAAAAAAGAAGCTGCTGCTGCTTCTTCTTCTTCTTCGAGTTCGAGCTTCAACTCCCGACCCAGTTGGGCTAAAACTGGGCTGATTTTAAATTTTTTTTTTTCTAAACTTCACAGGAGTTGAAGTCCCGTGAAGTTTTGTTATATAAAAAACTTCACGGGACTTCAACTCACGCGAAGTTTGAGAACTTTTTTTTTCCAAAAACTGACACAGTTTTAGCCAACTGGGTCTGTTTTTAAAATTAAGTTTGAAATAGGTCTTTATTTGGGAATAAAATTCAAAGCAGGTAGGTTTTGAAAATTTGGCCCCGAGTCTCATAATAATCCTAGCTACTTACTAATCTAAACCTTATATTAGACTATACACTAATCCCATAATCAACAATAAAATTAAAAGATCGATTTATTTATTTATTTAACAAGGGGTCTACCTGTAATTAATCCAAAATATGGGATAATTAAAATTGTTTCGCCACTTGCTCCCCAACTCGATCCTGATAACATGGAGTTGCTTATAGCATTGTTTTTCAGTTAACAACTCCCTTTAAACCAGAATCACAATCTTTACGTTCTCCTTTAACGCTCTCCTCCTCTGTTTATTATTTAGAACCGAGCAAATATTTTTAATGACCAAACTACCCTTCGGAACTCGGGAGGAGATACCAGTTGTAACGAGGGCAAATCCGGGATAAGCCGGATCCTGCCCGCCCATTTATATTCAAAGGAGTCTCCTTTCCTTTCTACATTATTTATTTTTATTTCTCCAAAAAACAACGGAGAAAAAAAAAAAAAAAAGAAGCTGCTGCTGCTTCTTCTTCTTCTTCGAGTTCGAGCTTCAACTCGATGGAATCGGTAGCGGTGGACGATTCGTATCGGGTGCTACCATCGGTCTACCTGGGGTTTCTCGGGCTCTGGTGCTTCTCTGCTCTCTATTGGACTCTTAACACTTGGAAGAATCGCAATCTTCAGGTCCCAATTTTCACCCAAATATGACTTTTTTCTTCTCTCTAGGGTTTTTGAAATTAGGTAAAAGAAAAAGAAAAAAAACCCTAGTTTTATTTGAGGGGTTATATGCGTTTTTGGTACTCTGCAGGTGAGCAAGTTACAATGGATGATGGCTTCTGTGCCGTTAATCAAAACTCTGCAATTGGTACTATCATTTGCGTTCTGGTGAGTTCAAATGCCCAAAAATTTATTAATCCGATATAAAGTTCTCGAATGTTATGATATATTCGAAAAAAGCTTGTATTCTTGCATAATCCAGCTGACAAATCTCAATAATACGAATGCTATGGGATTATGATCTATCTGTATTTTCTTTTGAGGTATATATTATAGTCAAAAAAAATCCCTTTATTTTCAAAATTTCCCCTCCTTTCTTCTATTTTCTTCCCTAGCGTGTTAGATGTGTGACATGCATGTTTGATATTCATATATTTATCTTAAATATAAGCTAACATAATATTTGAACTTTATGTGCTTAAGAGTCAGATGCCAATATATAACATTATATCTTTAGACCTAAATGTTATACTAACACTAAGGATCATAAACAATTTTCATGAAATATCTTCCCTCATGTAAATGCTTGGATTTTTATGCCCTTGGCCATTTCAATTAGCAAAAAGAGAATTGTCTGTCTTAGCATTCATCTAATAGACAGCATCAGATTGCATCCCGTGCCAGGTGTACAAAACTACATTTTCGTTAGGTTGCATCCGGTACCTAATTACGCAATATTTTTCTTTTACATTTATAGAAATGCATATACCTTTCCTTTTCTCTGAATGCTTCCTTTAAGATATTCAAGTTCATATGCTTCGTGCAGGTATTCATGCACAAATTTTCAGATATGCTCTTTATGGATTTCATTTGGAGTTTATGTAACTGGAATACTTTTCCAAACTTCCTCTTTAGTGTCATTTCTGCTCATATCACATGGTTACTGTATCATGTATGAGCGTATGTCGCTAGCTGAGAGGCGTAAGACTGCTGGATTAGCTTGTATCGTCTACTTGACTCTTGTTGGTTATAAAGCTGCTGTCCCTTACTTCACAGTGAGTTTCCTGTTTCCAGTTTGATTACTCTTCATCGTCACCCGCTGTTAATTGTTTGGAATTTCGAGTTAACTGCAGCTGCGCAGCATATTTTGAAAAATTGTCTTCAATTTTGGCTATGTAGTTTTATCTGATTTGAAGCTAATATTTACATCTTGTTACTTTTAATCCAGGTACTCATGCTGCTGAACTATTTTTTATCTTTTTATGTGATTTTCCGTTACATCTCCCAGAATCTTTTCATCCTGCGTGAGCAGTTAAATTCTATAGACCATGGGGATATGCAGACGATGCATGGTGCTCTACGTACCAAGTACATTATGTTCAAGTACGTGATTTATGTTCTTCATTGGTATCTACTTATATCTACGAAATATGGTATTTTATGTGATAAGAAGAGGAGTAACCAGACCTTATCCGTTTGCATTACTTTTTTTCACAAATCAGGAAATTTCAAGGAGCTATGCAGATTGTAGCTGTGGTTGAAATTCTGGTAGGGTCACCAGATACTACAATGTTTAACAGTAACAGAATCCTGAGGCTCCCTTTTATGAACATTCCTAATATTTGATTTTCAGGTCTATATGAATGCTGATGCGAGACCAGAGAGTTATTGGTTCCGGTTGTTGGTTAGAGAATGGGCACAATTCTGCATATTTTTGTACATTGGGTAGGTTAAAGAGACTAATAATAGGTTACTTGTTATACCATACCTATGTACATACCTCAAGCTTTAAATTATAGTTATTAGTCAAGCTTTTAACTTCACTAGTTCTGTTACTGGTTGAAATGAGCAACCCGATTGTAAATTATAGTTAAGCATTGCTACTTATATAAAAATGTAGTTATTAGTTAAGCATTGCACAAGTAAATATATCAGTCTTCATCATTGTTTTTATAAGATTGCTGCAAGGAGTAGTCTGTATCTATCTCTCAAATTATTTAAGAATTCTAACGTTATTCCTCTTCTAGGTGGACATTTAGAACAAAGGAAGCATTGCCAAATTTCCCTGTAATCCCTACCATGAAACTCAAATGGGAGAATACGGTGCCCCCTATATACAGCATGGTACACTCTACTCCATGGAACTCATATAATTACAAAACATTTTTATGGGCTTGGTTAATTTTCTGAAATCGAATGCTCCATTCTCAACTGAAGAGACATTTCAGAAAATTAACCAATGATTCCGGATAAATTTTTTCCCCATCATCTTAATTGTATACTGTAAACAACCTGAATTTGACTCTTTTTTATGCGTGGTGTATCACTGGTATGAATCTGATTCATAAACTGTCCAATCAGCATGCTATTGTTCACAATTGTCCAATCAGCATGCTATTGTTCATAATGAAATTTATAGCTTATACAAAAGATTTTGGTTTCTTGTCGTATGATTTCCTAATCTACAATTCTGTAGGAAATGGATGCAGCTGATTTCAACAACTTGACATCACAAGAATGGCATGTTGGGGTGGTAAGTAAAGTTTAAATAGTGTCATCTGATTCACCCATTTTCTTTAGTCCTACTGAAATCATTTCTTTAATGCCCTCTGTTTTTGCAGCCAACTTCTTTTCCTTCTCCCCACTGCAAAAACTCTGTAGATCCGTTACTCGTCATAGTTCAACACCCTCATGCAACAAGCCGAGGTACATCAGAAGCTCTCATCAGACAAAAGCTATCTATATCTAGGACTACTACTGCTATCGAAAAATTTCCTCGCAATGTTGATCATGTTTAACATAGAGGAGATGAATGGCAATAGCAATTGATCGATCGGTCACCACTCGGGTGATTCAGGAGCTGCTCCAAGAGACTAAGAGTAGGAAAATCTTCCTGGTTTAGCATCCATGCTTGCTATATTTTTTCTTACCTCACCACATTAAGGAAAGACTAGAAAGTTTATAGTTATTTAAACAGTATAATCTGTGAATAATATGCTTCAGTCTATGGAATTATTATACCTGACGTGCCTTCTTTCTGATTGTCGATCTGGACTACATTCTTGATTCTTGGTTTAGATAACAATTAAGTGGGCCAGTTGATACTGATGATATTTTACCTCGGGGTTTTGGGGGTTTCTACCGTATGTTATTGGAAGTTCATTTTTATGGCAATGGTTTCCCTAAATTTAGAAGACTCTATATCTGATTCAACAATTGGGTCAAACTGGTTTTCCACGATACTTTTATGAAAACACATCTTAAAGCACTTCCATACATGAGAATGGCAGGACTCAGTTCCAGAATATATATATTTTTTTGGTTTGATGAGAGAACTTCCCCACGATCCTTCGAATTGTGGGTGTCAAATCTCCAGGTGTGGCTAAGGGGCACCCCCAAAGCACGACCTTGAAATATTCCACGGAAATAATCTTCTTTGTTGCTCCCTAAGAGAGTCAAACTTGAGACATTGGCGCACTACTCTAGGTAGCTTATCAATTCGGCTGGACCCTCTTGGGTAAAACAAAACTTGTATATAATTAGCTAACCGCTAGAAAAGAGAACAGTATACATGTACACATAAACATATGGAATAATGACAAAGAATGCTTATCAATGTAAGAGAACCTCAGTTGATATGTAGTAGCAAGTATTCATGAATAATCTGATGAGCAGGTAACAGAACATTTATGAACAAATTTCTGAAACAATTGATCAAACAATGAAAGCTAATCTGTTCTCAGACAAGAGAAAACCTAAAAGCAATTTGAACAATGTGAGACTTTTCCATATACACACTGAACTTTGAGTATTCCTTCAATAAATTATTTGAGAAAATATTTAAGTTACTTAAATGGCAAGAACAAACTGACTGTTTATTGTATAAAACTGATTATTGTTTATTGTATATGTATAAGAGAATACAAAGAATGTCTGGAGCTTATCTGGCACAAGATGCAAGTATTTTGCCTAATCCTTGCCGTTATTGCCCCCACACTTGAACTACAAGTTAGAATCTGAAACAGCAGGCTCCACTTTGGTGGACCTAGCTACTCTATAAGCTTCATATCATATTTTAGGACTTTCATTTCTTGCGCTTTACGATGAAATCATCATCATCATCATCGCTATAGTTAACTCTCTTCTTGGCCTTGACATCTACACTTTTTGAAACCTGCGCTTTCTTTGAGCTCTCCGGCCTCTCCATTTTCGTAGATTTGACTGGAGTGCCTGTTCGGATTTGCTGCTGCCTCTTTTGCTTTCTCTCGTAGGCTTTCCTTGCTTTTTCAAGAGATAACAACCCATGTTCCATCATCCTGTATGGGGAAATGAAACAAATATTGTGAGATATTCAACCTTTGTACGAAAAGAATATTTACGAAGGCATTAATACCTCATTATTTAAAAAATATCCCGAACTTGCAAACAAAGGAATGAGAGGGCACTTCAAACGGTCACAATGGCACTTAGTTGTTACCTTGATGCTATCTACTGACGAAAATGTGATCCTTATATGAGTAGTAAACAGAAATATAGATTGGAGGCTAGTGTTATTAAAAGATGTCACATGCTGAAAAGTATCATAAGTTCAATGAGCATAGGTAATAATCACTATACTTCAGATATTACTTTGAAAGGGCAATCTCACTTGATGCTAAAACTTATGAATGAACGTGAAAATAACACAACAGATGAATGCAGAAATCTCATACTATGACTTCCTCTCTGAGGGCTCTCCCAATTCAAATTTGTGCAGGACATCAACATCATTCCGACTCTGCTGAAGCCTGTCAATGACAACACCTTGACAAAACCATAACATCTGTCTACAATGTAGCTCATCATATACAATAAAAACCAGCAGGTTAAAGTATTTCCTTTCAAAGGGAAAAAGGCTACTTTCCACTTTGGATGTGACATTGACTTTGGACTCAGAATACTGGTTTCCACAATTTCCAAAAATAACTAGGCAATACAACACCAACAGCTTCATGCATAAAAATAGAATTTAAATGCTGAACATCAGTAAGTTGGTAAGGTTTTGGGGTGGTTTTGGTGGTGGAGGAAGAGAAAACATGTTGACCCTATGCACCAGATTGAACCAAAAAAGAGGCATATTTGTAGAAAATCATACGGATTGGATTTGGAGCTCAAAAAGATGAAGTATTCATTACTCAAAAAGTGGATCTTCAATTTGGCTATCCTATCATATAATTTCCTTCCTTATCTATTGATTTGTAAAGTAGAGCAATATAAAAGAAGGAAGAAAGAGAAAGAAAGAGGACTCTACTCTTGTCATAGTTGAAATGCTAACTTCAAAAGATACTTACAACTGAATATCAATTGATTTTGTGAAAGTCAGACACCAAGTCTGGCTCGCCAGATTGCTTTACACCTCATTAAGTTTTACAGGATTTCGACCAGCAATAGTAGACTAGTGAGATTTGCAAGTAACAGTTGTATTAGTAATCATTCAACTAAAAAGGATATACTGAATGCAAAAAGCGATAAAAAGACACTCTCAAGCTAACTTGATGCACAAGGTTGCCATAGTTTATTCGTACATCGTGCTGATGTATTGTACCAAAGAATTGTTAGAGACAAAAACATACATATAACCGAATTGGAGGCAAGTGGAATCTTGATTCTCTGTACTTGCCACTTGCTTCATGCTTTCAAAAGTATGAACAATTTATATGTGAAATTCTTATCCAAGACATCCAATACATTTAAAAAAAAAGTCCATTACCCCTTATTGTTGTAACATGATTGGAATGACTTAATGTGTGTGTGTGTGTGTGTCTCTCTCTCATCCAGGAATAGCAGAACAATTTATATGTGAAATGATGGAGGAAAGATCAGATACTCAAGTACTGGAATACTTGTACACACTACTGCAAATTTCAATTGAACTATAGCAAATATCATTGACACTTAATTATGGTCCAGAAAACTTCAAGAAATCATAAATCGTACCTACTAATATAAAGAAGGAATATGAGATAATTGTAAAGAATAACATTAGAGAAGGGATTAATGCTTATAATCCAACATATCAGAGAAAAAGGGCGAATGTTTCATGAAGACAGATAGGTGTTTACCAAAATTCTGCCATTTCGCTAGTTGGAATCTGCTTTGACAAGGATTCGTAGAATATCCTCAAGGGTTCTCTCTGCCATGCAGAATAGAAATGATAATATAAAATTTTTCAGGAAAACAAAGTCAGATAAAAAAGAAAGTAACACGAAGTAGATAAAGTATAGCACGAAACCTCTTCTGGAGGATCATGCTTCTGGCCAGGCAAAGTATAGACTTTCTTTTGTGCTTTGGCTCTAACTGTGGCTGTCTTAGTTACCGTCTTAGTGACTGTCTTTGATGAAGAACTAGTTGCTTTTCCTTTCACCTTTGTCCCATAACCAAGCATAAGAGATTACACAAAGCCATTAATCAATTAAGCAAAAAACTAGTAGTATAAGTCCAAAAAAGCAAACACCGCACTTATGAAATTGCTCATGACCATGTTTATGTGGAGATAAAAGATGAAAGGCATGGAAGAAAAGCCAAAAAGAAAGGAAACACCATGGACTTTCAATGTGGCAACAAATGATTAATGAACTCTTTGGTAAAGCACCCATAACACACAAACATACTATCGATACCAGCACAGTCTTTGCGCAAATATCTAAATCAAGACATTAAATTTAAATGAACAACTTCTTTAATCACTTCACTCTTTAAACTCATGGCGCAAACCAAAATAATCTCGGAAGGATATTATCCACCAGCAAATTTTCATGTTAAAAGAAAAATGGTAGGAGCAATTTATCAAGTTTTTGTTACCCAGAACTTCACACAGGTCCGTAGACAGACCTGTAAATTTTATTAATGAAGATGACATAACTAGCCATTAGATGATTACAGAAGGAATCTCTAAGAAATCAATCCTTAGAACAATCATCCAGCAACTTATCAGTCACCAAAAATTAAAAGCGAGAATCTAAGGAAATCAATCAGGGATCTCCAATATCAATTGGTTAAGATAAATCAAACAAAACGGAGACTAAACTGACCCACTTCAATTATCAGCCAAAAGGAATGATTTGAGAAACACCAATAGAGTTGCACTATAATCTCTTGGACTCACAAGTAAGCACAAAGTTATATAACAGGCTAATGCAACTAATCATCTAAACTTTCTCAAGGATGCCCGATTTAACTAAACAACACATCATTCCAATCACGAGGAAACCAAACCCATAAATCCAAGAATCCAACAGCGAGAACGCAGACTTCAGCATCACAAAAAACAAGGACAGTATCCGAATGAAGTTAGCTTTCTAGATTCCCTCAAAGATGCCAAATTTAGCTCAAAAGAGGCAAGATCCAATCATCCAGAAACATATCCCATTATTTCTATACTAAGATCAATTTCCCCAATAAAAACAATGAAAACCTGCGATGAAACTAAAATAACCACACAGGGACATCTAAATCCTCCCTCATGATGCCCAATTTTACACAAACAAATCAATATCCAATCATAATTAGTCCAATTCAATAAATTCATCACAAACTAACTGTTGCATTCCAAAACAAAGATTTGTAAAGTTTGATTAAGAAGATAAGGTAATTCTCTCAAAGATGCCAATTTTCAATGAAAAATCAC